CGGGTGATAAATAAACACACCAAATTTCATTTGTTTATTTGGAAAAATAAAAAAGTTATAGGGGTGAGCGGGTTTTGAAAAACACCCGGTATATATTTTTTTGCTGATTCGGATGAAATTCAGAATATAGGTGAAAGGAGTCCAGAAAAGTTGATATTCTAAGTTTCAGCCCTCTCCGACCTACCGGAGGGGTTTTAGCCCCTATCACCCCAATTTTGGAAAAGGGCGTGTAATGGTGCATACACACCCTGCATTTACTTTTCCAAATTTTGAGAAATAGAAAATATCACCGGATAGAGGAGCCAAAAATACGTCGAAAATATTTCTTGGTGTTTTTCGCTCCGACGCTTCGGAAAAAAATAAAAAAGATTTTGATTCTGGAACATTTTGGGGACCCGACACGGCGCCACTTTTTCGCCTATAACTTCGGTAATTTCGAACCGATTGTCTCGAATCAGGTTTCCTTCGAAAAAGCAATAAATTACCTACAATTTTTTTTTATGGATATTTCAGGCTGTTTCTGTCTCCGAGATATAAGCCGTCAAAGGACCCCGCACACCTCTTATGGGTTTTTGGTTTTCTGTCAAACTCAATGAAATTTTGCTATGTGTTAGACCTTGACTTCCTGATAAAAAGTTCTCACGGGCCCGAACCAATCCTATGATTAGTTTTTGAGATACAGGTACTTTAATGTCCAAGAAATGTATACATTTTATATGTATTCACATCTACCTGTCACCTAATAATAGGTCTGTTTCTGCAAAAATCACAAACCCGTCAGAGCGAATTTGATTGGTCGAAAACAGTCAGAAACAGTCAGAAAACTAGTTTCAACCAATGAAATTCACTCTGACAGACCTATTAATAGGTGACAGGTAGATGTGAATGCATATAAAATGTGTACATTTCTTGGACATTAAACCACCTGTATTTCGGAAACTATTCATAGTATCGGGTTGGGCCCATGAGAACTTTTTATCAGTAAGTCAAGATATACCACATATCAAAATTTCATTGAGTTTGACAGAAAACCAAAAACCCATAAGATGTGTGCGGGGTCCTTTGAAATTTTTCTGAAAATGTATTGAAAATTATGAAGTCCATTTTCTCAAATACGGTTCCCTGTGGAAGGGTAACTCTAATAAGCTCTTTTGTAGTTCTCAATGAGATCTATAGCTTTTGTGTTTAAGGTTTTTCTCCCACGCTCTCTGTTCTTCAGCTAGGATGCTTTGAAATATAAAAAAATAATAATAAAGGCTGTTTTGTATTTTTTTTGTCATGACGGTCTAAAGGGGATCCCAAATATCTCCTAAATGGGTTCAGTTTATTTTTTTCTCTCGTTTTTTCGATTTCTTTTTTCAATATGTATATATTTGCCTTGATATAATATGATTTTATAATAAAAGTAACGTTCTACTATAAATTCTTATCAAAATTTGCGAAAATGGCCACATTCACGCTTGCCCTCACCATTAGGAGCCCTAAAAATACCGTAAAGGGACCAAAATTTCCCTCCTGCGGCGGAGCTTCAAGGATTTCTCCATAGGAATTTGTCCCCTCTCCTCAAGACAAAATCCTGGCTACTCCAATGGTGCTGCCGAAGTCGAATATTCGAATATAGCCGAGCTGCCGGAAATCCAGGAATTTTAATAATATGCAGGGACGATCAATGATCCATAGTGGCGATCCTGCAGTGACATTGTTATCTGTCAGCTGGTTCCATTAAAGCCTATGTGTGTGTATAGTAGTCTAGTCCTGTCTGCATAATTAATTCTACTTCTGGTAATTTTTGGAGCCTCTACCCCATGGTAATTTTGAAATTCCGGCGCCTATGCTCTCATCAGAGGATTGCGACGATAGAAGAGGATGGAAATTAGGTGGAGGACAACGAAAAAAGACGTTCTAAGACGACATATATATAAATTCCCAAAACTCTTTTTTATTTATAACTTCATTTTCAAGTCTGGTAATATATTCCGATTTCTGAATGACTTGTAGAAGCATATTTCCTGCATTGATGTCACAGCAAAGAAAATTTTTGATAATCTGCAGACAATCTAATCTTTTTGCATTGCTTGTGAGCATTTTTCTCCAGAAATATCAAGAGTTGAGCTCAGCAATATACCATCTTGGAAATTTGGGAGTTTTACGTCTACGTTTGGGAACATCAATATCAATAACATAATAAAGAACATTATAAAACTTGCTTTAAGCCTCATTAACATTAGAAACATTCTGGATTTCATTCCAATTCATATAAGATAACTACCTATTAATATCCACATATAATATAGCCCCCCTAAAATTGTAACAAAAATAGTCATAGTTGAAATAATCACATTTAGTATCACAGTCTACCACAAATCAAATGATAGAGCTGGATGGTAAGTATCACAGACAGCGGTATATCATTGGCAGACACGTTAATATTGGCATTAGTAAAAATTAAATTTAGGAAACCCCCATATACATTGGATACATTATTCATTTGTTTCAAATTAAAAAATGCCATACATTCGGACACAAACTGTACTGACAATATGCGCATTTGAGGCACTAAACATCCTTATAAAACAGTGAAATACGCAACCATATAGGTATACAGATTTGAATACTAACTGTTGAAACAAAGCAGAGTTTAGATAAAGTTTTTTACGGCTAATATGGGAAATGTTCTCAGAGAAATTGAAACAATCGGTTATCATCACAGTGAAGGAGAATTTTGAATGAATAAAAATTATGTTAGTTTTGAAGGCATACATTCAAGATAGAAGATTCCGATTCCGGTAGTATGGAAAGTTTTTATAAAATAATTGTCATAAAATATCGTTGAAACTAGTTGGTCGACAAAGTTGCTAGAAGCGGTAGATCTTTTGCTTTCCAAAGCACAGCTTATTTGAGTGAAGTAGTACCACAGCAAGAGGTTGAGGTCTTCTGCTATTTCCTTTAAATAAGCATTGTTTTGACCTTATTGGTGGTACTTGGTCTGCGAATTTCGATGCCGGGTCCAGACCAAGCAGATAAAACAACGACAAGACAACGACATTCACGTCTCGCGACAAATCTGATACATTTCTGCAACATTTTTGTCTTTTTTTTTTGTTTTGTATCCAAATTCCGAGACTTTTGAGTGGGTAAAGATCAAAGAGTCTCTGTTTTGTCTGTGTATTTAACGACAAGTTGTCGGCGCAGTGTGGATTGGTGTGACCAACAAGGCATATTAGATTCTCGAAATCTTTAGTGGATATTCTTAGAAAATTCTTGGGCGAATCTTACCACATAGTCTAATATCATCCTCACGTAACTGAACTAACAATTTATTTATAAAATAATTTTTTCCTTTTTTTAGGCTTGGTCTCACCCAAAAACGTTTCTGTTTCATTTGTCCAACATTGGATGAAGATGAGAGAAAGATATAACAGTTGGCGGCTAGCAATAAATCTTAATTTTATTAAATTTTCTATCTGAAAACGTCGAATGGTTAAGCAACTGATTCGCATCAACCAACAATTAAATTTTGAACTACGTTGACCAGTCAGAAACAACTACTCCGAGGGCAAATACCCCTACCGGTGTTGAACTACACTGATTGGTCTGAGCTTTCGTTGGCAATGGAAATTGTTAGAAAGATTTTTTTTTTCAGGTAATGACCAACGTGAATACACGGACACAAAAAAAAAAAAATCTTTCTAACAATTAAGTTTTGTTGCACATTTTTGTCTTGCTGGTGTGGACAGTTTGTCTCAATTTTGTCTTATCTCAATACCCAAATTTTTGTCGCAGTTTTGTCATGTTTTTGTCCCAAAATCGTGTAGGTATACTTTTTGTCTGCTTGGTCTGGACCCAGCATGAGAACTCACCGAGTGTAATTCTTTCATACAGGAATAAGAAGCTCAAATGTGTTTCTCGCCACCGCCACCTAATAACCACTTCGATACCTTAATATATCAAATAACAATACATAATATAGAAGTTGTTTGGGAGAAATTCTATTATCGCCTTGACGTTGCCCCTGCTACAGGCTGCATATGAGATGCTAATATTACCAAAGTCTAAGAATATTACCTTTCCTCATAGTCTGGGAGACGACCGCATTTTTCCTACCCCGATCGAGTTATGTGTCAACACTATTATCAATATATAGTATTATGTGCATCTATTAACCTGTATTCCTGCCTGCGAGCAAATGCTGCCGGAAATATCTTTTAACAAATTATTAACAAATTGAAAAAAACGTAACACTACCCCCATCGAGTTATGCCCTAAGTAGGGTATCAGATTGAAGATCTCGATGTCCCCTATCCAAAAAGTCGATCCTGCCTTGTGAGAACTTGCCGGAAAAGGGTGGCAGGACAGCTTTTTGGGGCAAGGGCCCGCGGTCTCTGCTTTGACACCTATCAAGCTTTGCACTAAATGATGTGTCAAATTAAAGGTGTCAATAAGTTGATTTAAGGTCTGTTCGCACAGAAATCACAAACCAGTCAGAGCGAATTTCATTGGTTGGAAACAGTCAGGAAACTAGTTTCAACCAATGGAATTCACTCCTTCTGGTTTGGGATTTCTCTGCGAAGAGACCTTAAATCAACTCATTAACACCTTTAATTTGACACATCATTCAGGGTAAAACTTGATAGGTGTCAAAGCTGAGACCGCGGGCCCTTGCCCCAATAAGCGCCCTGCCACCCTTTTCCGGCAAGTTCTCATGAGGCAGGATCGACTTTTTAGATAGGGGACATCGAGACCTTCAATCAATATTGATAATAGTGTCGACACATAACTCGATCGGGGTAGGAAAAATGCGGTCGTCTCCCTAACTATCAATAAAAAATTGCGTCCTGAAATCGTTTTTGTTCTGAAAAGCATGTATTTCAAGTTTTTAGCGAAAACCTATTGATTGTTGTAGGGTTGCTGTACCGTTAAAATTTAAGTAAATTCTGAATTAGTTGCTTTTAATGATTTGTTCAAAATATTCCACCTTTTAATATTCAATTATGTATTACCGTTTTTTGAATTAAATCTAAATCAGATGAAACTTGACTGCTATTGACGTTATGATAATTCATCATTGCTCTGGTAAGTCCTTTATCGAATCCTTCAGCGAGTTTGGTGCGGTAAGCAAAAATGGATACTCCAGCTCCCAGTTCTAGGACGAAAACGATCGCTAGAAAGCCGCCGTACTAAAAAAACAATTAACACCTTTTAATAACAGAACCAAGTCAGTTTCGTGCAAATTTGTTTCGCTCGGCTGAATTTTTATAATGAACCGCAGTCAGTCAGTTTAATTATCGCACTTACTTTTATGGACGATTTACGGAGATGATTACTCTGATGGGAGTCATTGCACCTTAAGAATAGAATGTTTTGTCTATACTAAATAGGTCTGTCAAGGCAAAAATATCGGATTATACTTCGTGTCAGTTAGGAAACATACCTACTGGGCACAGACGGAATAAAAGTTCAATCCTCTGGCTCAGCATCATATAATATGTATATAATATTAGCGGTCAAATGAGCATTAGTTTCCAACATATCTTCTCATACACTATATATTTATACATTTTGAAAAAATCATCAGGCAAAACTATGACATTTTAGCTCTGAGATTCCTGCTTCCTGTCCTTAGGGCAAAAACGTTTAAGTATTTTTGGGCACTACAAAGCAAGGTGAGTCAAGGCCAGTCCATAATTTGAAAACTCCCCTATGAAGGATAACATCACCTTTTGTTTTTTTAATTGAGATAGGTAATTGATTTGAAAAATCTACATAAAAATAAAGAACAAACTTTGGCGAAATCAAAAATTTTATTGGAAATAAAAAATCAAAATTTAATATCAAAAGAAATAATTTTGGAAGAAAAAGTTCAATGGCATTTATCTTATTGGCATTTCATCATGACTTCCAAAAAGTCTATGCAGTGGTCTTTGTCATAACAAAATGTGAATGATAAAAGAGAAAAAATAACAAAACATGATGATAATGTAGGAGCATTGGCGCTCCAGTCTTAAACCCAAAAAATGATGAATAAGTAAGCTTCTAGACCCTATTTAAAATTAATTTTTCTCAGATTGATAATTTTCAATGTTATTATATTGAGTTTGCTTTGTAAAGCTCCGGAAATGGATCGAATGTTGGCCCAACGCAAATTCGATTTTTCATGTGCGTTTCCTTTAACCTTTATTAGAGCTTTGCCAAAATGTTCGTGCTCATTTTGAAACTCTTACAATAAATGTACCTAATTCAAATTATGGGTGAGTTTTCACCTGCTAATAATATGGTCCTCCAAAGGACAGTAAACGCACTTATTTTTGCCTGAAAATTCTTTCTGAATTTGAATGATGGGATGAATTAAAAAAATCGTACTGACGAGTGGCGATACACTAAAATTTTTCCAGTTAGAGTCAACTTACCTTATAAATCCGCAAGACACTCAAATAAAAAGTTAAACATTTTCATCCTCACAGGGTAATTTAAAAACCATTTGGTTTGTCTAAGGTAGAATTTGAATAGTCACTTACCACATACAAAAGAACAGGTTGCCCTTTAACAGTACAACAACAAGCCAAAGAACCAATAAGGATAATCAACGATCCAGTACCAATTAAAACATATGGGGCAGTACCGCTAAATTCAGTGCTCATTTCCATGTATTTGTAGAGTTCAATTTCCATCCATATGCCGATTGCGAGAATTGCGAAACCAGACACCTGAAATTAGAATTTAAAATATAATGTAGCATATAGCGTCCAATAAATTTAAAACTTATCATTATTATTTCATGCAGTTTTATGGTGAATTTTGATTGGATTAGTTGAATAACTTTCAAATCTGCAGGAGCTCTATTTTAATCAAACAGTGGAAGAGGAAGTTACAATGACCCCGAGGGACTTCGGGAAATGATTAAAGGGTCAGCAAGCTAGTAAACCCAAACGAGCAATTATTCATTAAATATGAAATAACCAAGTAACTATGCATTGGTGATAATTATTTTCCCAGAGTATTTGAAAGAATTTTTTTTACTTACCCAAAAAATAAAATTAAACACCATAAGGAAACTTTTCATGCACGCCAGAGCGGCAACAGTTTGCAGATGTTTCCCCATTTTTCACACTCTTAATTTACTGGTAATAATTCAATTGACAATAATAATTAACAATTTCTATTGATAATAGGAAACAGGAATTGATAAAATGAATTTATCACAAAAACACGGAATAAGCTATCGGCAAGTGGCCTTGTATTTTGCAGGGGGACTCTCCCTTTGCCTGTTTTCCAGGATATTTGCGTTTCCAAGCGTGCGCAGGAATGAGAAACCTTTGGCGCATTAGCTCAAAGAATTTTCATTTCCTTGGATATACCGGGTGTCTAAAGGATTCTTTTCGTGCTGGTATTTGTTCACTTTGGGTCCGATTGAATTGAACTGAATTGAATTTGGTTGCGGGATGTAGGTTTGAGGTCTGCACAATATATGAAAATGACTTTGACAAAATTCCACAGTGTGTATCAGCCAAATGAAATAAAATCAATAATAAATAAATGGGGAACTTTTCGAAAAAACGCTGTTTTTGTTTTATTGCTTAAGATTTTTTTACACCAAAATTTTTGTACAGGGTGTTCTAAGAACAACTGTACTTTACTTTATCAACTTAATTTTTTTAAAAATGTTATCTCCTGTATATTAAAATTGACTTTTTTGCAACTTTGACCGGCTGACGGAATTTTTAATCATGAATTAAATTCAAAGTTGGTGTGAAATGATAGTTTATGCAAAACTAAGACAAGAATGTATGACCGGTTTTGCTGTAAAATCAACCGTTCAGGTTTCACAGTGTGTCAAAGATGCAAAAAAGTCAATTTTCAACTGTCAATATTTCCGGAACAGTTGAAGATAAGTTTAGGACATTGTACATGAAATATGTCTGGAATGTTCTGCAGAATCCAGAAATGTCATAATATACAGGGGTCACTATTTGAAAAAATAAAGGTGATAACGGTACAGCTGTTGGAACACCCTGCATAAAAAAATTTATGCGAAAAAATCTTAGTCAAAAAAATAAAATCGACGTGTCCGAACGTTTTTTCGAAAGGGCTTCCATTTAATTATTATCGAATTTATTCCATTTGGCTATATTTAAGATATCGATCTATAACGTTCTACGTTTTCCGATTTCCGATCTTCAACCTTCTGAAAATTCAGGCATCCTCCTCCAAGCCACTCTCATTTCCTCGTCTACTGCGTCATGTATCACATTCATAATTTCTCTCATTCTCTGGTTTATTATCCGATGCAGTCGATGCACTGAAACTTTCAATTAATGCCAATTTTTATGAACTTCATTTTAATTTCAATTTGGTATTGGTTGATTGGTTGGTTGGCTGTAGGGATGATCTAGGCGCTGTGGCCTTCCATGCTCTGCAGCCTGTTGGCTTATTGTGCACCACAAGTTTTTTCTTGCCCTACAAGAGTCCTGTATTAGGCCTAATAGCCCTTGGACAAGATTTTCAGGCGGTAGCCTCCCTATCCCATCCCCAGTCTGTATTGTGCGATAGGGCCACACACTCATATAATATGATGTGGGAAGTTGTTTCGTCTTCTTCTCCATAGTTTGCATTCAGTGGTCCAATGAATATGCCCGTCCTGTGCTGATACTTTCTCAAGTGCAATAGCCCTATCACTTTACTTGTCTCATCTGTGTGCGCGTAAGTCGTAGCACGACAGTTGTTAGTATCGTTGAAGGTTTTCCTATTATCGCCTTTGCGTGATTTTGTCCAGGTGTTGTATTCCAATTTGCCAAATGTTGTCTTTTCGACCATTTGTCCAGTGTGGACTTCACACTTCACCACTTGAATCAATATTCCAAGACTGGGCCTGGGACCTATAAATGGCGTTGCAGCTCCAGCTCTCGCCAGCCCATCTGCTTTTTCGTTGCCCTCTATTCCTGAGTGGCCAGGAACCCATAGGAGTCGAATCTTGTTTTCCTTAGCAAGCTACTTCAGGTCAGTGAGGCACTCCATCGTCATTCGGGAAGTGATGCGATAGGAATTCAGCGCTTTCGGTGCTGCTTGACTATCCGTTCTGGTTATTCCATCTACGCTTAATGCTTTGTTGGATGCACCCATGTATAGAGAAGACTTCTGCTTGATATATAATGGTTTAATTCACTAGTGATAGGCTGACATTCATCTTGGGTCGTTCCCCATATATCCCTGCCCCACTCCGTTTGCCGTTTTTGAGCTGTGACATATGTGTTACTATTGTGTATCCGTATTAGCTCAGCTGTTGGCTTCCAGACTCCTGCCGTTTTCATTCTGTGGGCCGTGATTCTGGCCTCTTTCTTAATGAAGATATCTAAGGCTAAGCACATAGTGGAGCGGCGAGCAGAGCAGCGGGCAGCGCGGAGAGCAGAGCGTCAATTGAGCAGAGAGTGGATGAAAGAATTGTATGCACATAGTGACGAGTTAATACTCGAGTGAAAAAGATAAAAATGAATAATTTGGTTTTAACCGAAACGTCGTCTTTAAAAATTTTGGTATTTAATGAGAAGACAGAAAGAAAAAAAAAAGTGTAGTGCACACTATATAAACAGAAGCAAACTTCGATTAGGCGAATATCACCATTTATATGAAGAATTACACTATTTATATGAGGAATTACGGCAACATCCAGAAAAATTTCAATTTTATCTTTTAATAGATATTAAAACTTTTGATTACATTTTGGAGAAAATAGAACAAAGATTGGTAAAAAAATGGACTAACTTTACCATAATCCCAATTGGTCCAGCAGCAATCAATTAATAATATAGGTAATTTTTTTTTTTTTCACTTGATTGTTGACTTCATTTCTCTTGCTACATCATCCCACAACTTATCTAATATGTATCGGTTATGATTTTGGGTATCTTTTTGGTTCCACAATGGATTTTTAACAAAAATACTACTTATTAATTGTTCAACGTCTATTTTTACAACACAGAGACAAACGAGCAATGTAGAAAAATCAAACTTGCTTGAACGCGTCGCTTTGCTCGATATTAACAGCGCTGCTAAATCTCCGCACTGCTCTTCACTATGTGTCAAACAATTTAATCTCGTGTGTTAGTTTTCGCTGCTTTGCTCTCCTCACTGCTCACTACTTTGCTCGTCGCTCCACTATGTGCTTACCCTAAGGGTAAGCACCTTTAATTATTTCCATCGTCGTCGTGGGAGTACCTACTTCTCATGATTTCTGAGATGCATAAGGTAGCCAGTCTCTGTAGAAGGTTAAATCTCATGACAGGGTCTTTTGCTCAGTCTTTGGCCACCATACGGCGGCCTCGTATGTTATCATGGTTATGATAACTGTGATGTATAGCCAGTACACCATCTTTGGTTTCAGGCCTCAGGTTTTGCTAAACATGTGCCTGCATCTCATGAGGCAAATATTTGCTTTGTTTATATTCTTCTCGATTTGTTGGTTCTATGTCAATTTAGCGTTTAGGATTAGGCCCAGATGTTCCGCTTCATTAACAGTTTTTCAATTTTCACCAAAAATCTTCAAATTGTTATAAGTTCCTGTTGTTCACTTCTTGCTGAATGGTAGACGCGCTGTTTTTTTCTGCGCTTATTGTGCACACCATCTCTGCAGACTTCTAAGTGCTGTCTGCATGAGTTCTCCTGTACACCTGGTGTCTCTCTCCTGAACATAGGCGTAGCCAGGGGGGGCTGCCGGGTCGCAGCCCCCCCCCCCCCCCCCACCAAGGTAAGTCTGGACTTTTTTTTCAGCTTACTTTATGTGACATGTACATTTTTTGTAAAAAAAAAATAGAAATAAAATTTATTTCTTTCTATAATAAGGTTCTATGGCGAGCGCCTAATGCAGTAAGGGAATCAGTGCTTCATCTTAATCATCTTAAATGTCCGAAATACTTCCTTCCTCAGGAGAGAAGGGGCTCCGTGAACAAAATGTCTCCTCTTACCAAAATAAAGCGAATAAGTGGCCCAATGCGAACATTCTTGTCGCCCCGCAAAAAAGAATAGGTGCGTTACATTTGGGTATGTTACCTAGCTAGGTACAGGTGAATGCTGACAAAAATAGGCAACTTCCAAATTTTTAAATTAATCTGTTAGTCATTCTGATAACATCAGTATGATTTTTTTTCTCCAAACAAACGCTTATTTTTGAAAATAAAATGATTTGAAAATCGGATTTTTAAACTGGTGTGAAAACGCGGGATAGGAGGAGGGACGTCACTCTCCCAAACATGCGAGGATGCCGAATTTCTCATTAGTAAACCATTTCCAAACATGGCTGACATAAAACTAGTCACAACCTATGACCTACTTTTGTCCTTTACTAGTGCGCAGAGTTTTTTTTTTTTTTGGTCAACACTTTTTGTTAACAGAGCCCCCCCCCCCCAAACCAAAATCCTGGATACGCCAATGCCCCTGAACGACTATGACCACGTTGTCAGCATACCCTTGGGCGTGGAACCCCTCGGAGTTGAGACGGTGTAGTAAGTCATCAACAACCAAATTCTATAAAAGGGGTGATAGTACTCCTCCCTGTCGACAAACTTGAATTGCAGATACCTTCGCAGTCTCTCCGTATAAAGTGGATCGAATCTGTCGTGCTGTTTCGCACGAATTGTCTGCTTGATAGGTGTGTTAGTGCGCGTTCACATTGACACCGCTCGAGCGGTGAGCGTTGCGCGATGCCGCTGTAGCGATGCCCAAAAATAGTTTTAACATTATATTTCAAATGAACATGTTAACACCGCGGGACGCGCCGCTCCAGTGTGAACATATATACCTTGCGTTCGGTATTTTGCTCAAAGAGCAGAGCGTGCTGAGCGGAGCCGTAATCACGTGACCAGTGAGCGAACAGAGCAGTTGAGCGCTGTATAAAAGTGCCAGAAAGTTTAATAAACGAACGCGAATGAGGATGCACCGAGTACACTTTTTAAATAAACGAACGGTAAAGTAAAGCTCGGAGAACTCGGATCAAAATAACGAACGCAGGGTTATTTGAAATATAATGTTAAAATTATTTTTGGGCATCACAACAGCGGCATCGCGCAACGCTCACCGCTCGAGCGGTGTCAATGTGAACGCGCACTTAGTGTTCATGGAGGGGTCTCTCATGTGCCTATCGATTATTTTTTCCAGCATTTTAAGAAGGAAAGAAGTTAGGCTGATTAGACACTTATGCCTTTGTTTCTGTGTAGTTTGCGCGTCCGGGTTTTAGAATAAATACCGCGTTTGCCGTCCTCC